ACGAATAGGGTTCTCATCACACATACAAAGCCCCAAAACTCCGTCGAAGTTGTAACCCACGATTAGCTATTTTCTGTCACTTGAAATGTCTAATTTATTTGAAGCACAAATTCTACCGAAGTAAGCTTCATAGTTGAGATAACCAACTAGGTACGCCACTACCCTGCCCAGCCCATAACGCCACTAGTCACAGGTTAGGAATCACGAATCACGGACGCAACTGGGACGCTGAATTGCACCAACACTTGCACGCTGGTATCACTCGTCGCCGAGACGCATGAGAAGGGTCGCAGAAGTAGTAGTTAGTTTATTTAAAGAAATCAGAAATGACAGATACAAAAGAAGTTTATTGGTTATACAGGTATCCACCGATCGCGTGCTTGTATTCATGACGTTATACAGTTTCTGTCAAAACCTCACGACTTCTCATTGGTCGGCACGATTGGACTGTGGTTCGTTGTCCAGAAACTGTAACGCGCCGCTCCCTGGTTATGGTTATCCCGTAGGCTAGGATCACTACAGAGCGCCAGTAATGAGTGAACGACTGGTGTATGGCAGTCAGGTGCACGCACATGCGGTTCAATATCAATACCTATGAGGACTCGTGTCGATTAGAGAATATTAAAGTTACCGTTTTGTCATCCGTGTTTTATGCATTTTGAACACTTACCTAATCGTTTTAAGTACACATGTACAGAGGCGAACAATTGTTCTCCTTGATTGATCTTCTAGTCTGTACAGGTCATATAGGGAAATGGCATACCAAATGAGGATAGACATTCTCAGTCGTTCGTTTTACTGGATGCGTTCCGTTTTTAAAGTATCAAGTCAAAAATATTTCACGTTAAGCGAATTCGTTTATGTGCGACCTATCGAAAAGACAACATTTTCTATCTGTGTGCAGTAAGCGATCGATAGGCCAAATTTCCATTAGGCGACCCGGTTACTTCAACCACTCGTCTAGGTATTGCGCAAGGTACCAGGCATGTAGCAGATAGCAAGTGCTTAACAGGCCTAAATTTGCTGTTTGAAGATTAATCTACGTCAAAATGTTTCAAGTCCTATTTTGCTTTTCCAATTTAAAACCTCATTCCTAGTCACTCACTCGCATTTTGTGGGAGCACATATACCTCACGAGGGGTATGTTCAGTGACAAGCTGATAAATTTCGGGCTGAAAGTTATAAAACCTAATCATTACTGTATAGATGAGTTGAGTCCGGTTGTGGTCGAGTGATCCAGTGTACGCGCACTTGCTTGTGATTTGGTCAAACAAAGTGTCTGGCACAAACGGTTCGCCTAGACTTCGTCCGAATACCACACAGACAGTCAGTTTATAAATTTTATCGCATGAAATTTTCCCGGGGGCAATTCGGTACAATTGGGGAAAACAATGGTTTCATTTGTGATTGTCTGTGTACCTTTGCAAACTTGCTGGGGATTTTGTGATTCCTCTCTCTCTCTCTCTCTCTCTCTCTTTTTGCTAGATATTACGGGTCTGTGGTTGAGATACAAACCCACAGTTCTTGCACCGAGCCGTCCGGTGTTGAATTCTGCCTAGTTCCTCGGTTCCCATTTGGCACTGTGCATCATGTCGATGTAATTAATTGATAACACTTAGCGCGCGCGAGAGAGAGAGAGAGAGACAACATGGAGGTCTTGTTCAAGCCGGTTCTGTTTTTCTCTTCCTGTATGAATTGCATCATTGTTACCGATTGTCCTTTGTGTAGCCTTGACAACAAACATTGTCTGTCTGGTTTTTCGTTACCTCGCAAGAGCTTGTTACCGTGTATTTTATGGTGATTTTGAAGTCAGTTTAATTATGGTTCTAATAATATATGGTATGCAGATATATACGTTCCTTCAATATTTTCCATAGATTTTACGAAACATTTTTCACTATCGATGAAGTATGGAATAATTTACTAAGGATTGCCTACATTATTTATTTTTGATAAATTTATGCCAAATCTAAGGTTACGTTGTTTTGTTATTAGCTATATGAATTTGTGCACCCAAATTTCGTCCACTTCACTCTTGTTTCCTTGCCTGAAGAGCGACAAGAACCGAGCAATTGGTTGTGCTTCCAGGAAAAATGTGTCAATTTATTCACATCTTATCTACTGCTATACTTATATAATATAATATAATATAAATTTTTACACATACTAAATTACTTCCTTGCTTTAGTTAAGAAAATCAAACGAATTTTGAAGCTGTCTGCATTTTATTGACCAAATAGCTTTGTCAAATTTGTGTCTTTATTCAAATAACCCCTGGCCCGATGAGAAAGTGCATTTGACAGATTCACCGATGGTGATGGTGTCGAGTGGAAACGGGGTAGTGGCGATGGTATTCACGAGGGAATTCATAATTTGACAAAGCCAACAGTGAGTAGCTTACAGTAATGCTCATTGATTCGACTGTCATCACCATCATCATCATCATCATCATCCGAATCATCGTCATCATCATCATCATCCGAATCATCATCATCATCATCATCATCATCATCCGAATCATCATCATCCGAATCATCATCATCCGAGTCATCATCATCCGAGTCATCATCATCCGACCAGCATCATCATCATCAACAGCATCATCATCATCATCATCACCGTCTTCGTCATCATCCGAATCATCATCATCATCATCATCATCATCGTCATCATCATCATCATCATCATCGTCATCAACGTCTCCATCATCATCAACCTCATCACATCATCATCATCATCCTCGCCATCATCATCATCATCATCCGAATCATCATCATCATCCGAATCATCATCATCATCCGTCATCATCATCATCATCATCATCATCATCATCATCATCATCCGAATCATCATCATCATCATCATCATCATCATCATCATCATCATCATCATCATCATCATCATCATCATCATCATCATCATCATCATCATCATCATCATCATCATCAATCATCATCATCATCATCATCATCATCATCATCATCATCATCATCATCATCATCATCATCATCATCATCATCATCATCATCATCATCATCATCATCATCCGAATCATCATCATCATCATCGTGATCATCATCAAACAGTGTAAGACCGTGAAGCGAGCCTCACTGATCGCTGCCAAACTCATATCGCATACAAGTTAATTGAGACTGTGTAGGAGGAATGGGGATTGGACTTACTTTCTGGGACGGAGAAAGAAAGCGAACCCCTATGGTCAACACAAAGAGAACGCAGTTCACAGGATCAGCAGGATCGCCATTGCTGTCGATTTGCTGCCATGATCTCCAGTGTCTCGAACCATCATGCATTTACGGAGTCTTGAGGACCCCAACCCGGAAGACGCCAGACACCTACTCCACCTAATCGCTCTGCACGTTTTCTCATTCCTCATATCTAAATCATCTGTTGGTTTCCACATGGAATTTTTCTCCAGTCTGGAGCGGTCATTGCAAATGAGGCACGATGTGGTAGACGACCGTTAGTCATACACAAAACGTGTTCTAACCAACGTAGCCCATTGAGATGAATTCGATGTGCTAGCAAGTTCGTGTTTCATGCATTTGCAAACATCCAATGTAGCTAGACCCGGAATCAAATGTGCTCGATAAAGTTTTGCTAGCAGTACGGTTGTCAATAGCACTCTGTCGAATCGACTTATTGTTGTATATATATATATATATATATATATCACATGTTGGCCTCACCAACGAGCAACGTGAAAAGGGCAGAATTACGACCGTTGTTGTTC